CGTCGTGCAAATTATACAAATAAGTGTAATACACTCTATAGTAAATCACTTCTTTTCTTCACCTTAAAAGTACGAAAATGAGTTTTGGAGAACTCCTATTTCAATTAAGCCCTGATGCTAAGAAAATAGTTAGAGGGATAGAAGCCCTAAACCAGAAAATAATAAATACAGAATATGCGGTCATATTCAATGAAATATATATATATATATATATATATATATATATATATATATATATATATATACATTCAGGCCTTTGGGAACTAGTAATTTCTCAGACCTGAGTGTCTGAAAGAACTTAGGCTTAACAGCAGAGAAGGGGATAACCCGGGCCAGTTCATCTTCATCCTTGTTACATGCTAATTTGGCTACTATGTCTGTGTCATCACGATGGGTTATATTTGTGTGAGATGGGAGCCTTGCCAAAGAGATTCTAAAACCATTTATCCTGTGCAGCGAGCAGGCTGTTTATCATGGCCTCCGTGAGGGTCTTGCTGTCCATCTTGGAGACGCTGTCAAGCTTTCGAAGAACAGACTTTGAAGCTCATGAATTTATTATTATTGCTCCTGTCTGTTCTAGTGTACTGGTTAGTTAGTTGTAGTGTGGCTAGGTCTGTTGGTGTACTGGTTAGTTAGTTGTAGTGTGGCTAGTTCTGTTTGTACAGGGTTCAGCCAGATTTTTATCTAGTCACTAATATTGCGTGTGCAAGTATTCTCAGAAAGGTGAATGTCAGACTTTTATTATTATTATTGTTATTATTATTATTATTATTATTATTATTATTATTATTATTATTATTATTTTTATTATTATTATTATTATTATTATTATTAATAACACATTTAGGTACATCTGCATTTGTGCAGCTACCTTAGACTATATGAAGTGGAGTACAGTGTTCCTACGTGATGCTAAAAAATCCCCATCACACAGGATGGTTAGTCATACAGAGGCATGTGATAGGCAGTCTGCACTGGCAGACTCTGGGTGCATGATGAGGATATCATCAAGAGTTTACATAGATATCCATTAACATAGATAATCTTCATAGTTTACATAGCGACGTCAGGTATGTGAATAGTTCTGCCGTCAGAGTTGACTTTGATGAGACGGACTTGAGCACGTGGTGCTAGTTAACTGCCCGTAGGAAAGGTAAGATCCCGCTGTCCTGCTCACCAGGATTTTCTCCCAGACATGTCACGCTATTCGTGATTTCATTGAATATTGACCTGAGATGGTATAATCATCTGTCTGTCTGTCTGTCTGTCTGTCTGTCTGTCTGTCTGTCTGTCTGTCTGTCTCTCTCTCTCTCTCTCTCTCTCTCTCTCTCTCTCTCTCTCTCTCTCTCTCTCTCTCTCTCTCTCTCTCTCTCTCTCTCTCTCTCTCTCTCTCTCTCACACACACACACACACCGAAAGGTCTCGTGTTCGTTTTCCTGCGGCGCGACAGAGACGTTTCCTTTCACCTCATGCCACTGTTCAATTAGCAGTAACTAGGTACCCGGGAGTGAGCCAGCTGTTGTGGGTGGGAGCTGACCCTCCCATCCTTGGGAGGGTCAGCTGTTGGCCCTAGGGGCCTAGTAGTGGGGGGGGGGATCTCGGTGATCCTCAGTACAGGCTACCTGTCCCCGACAAGTAGTAGCTGTGGGTAGCTTGCCTATTATTATTATAACAGTTATCACGTTAGTAAACAAAGATAACTATTAACTCAATAGTAAAAAAGATAACATTACACTTTGACAGCTGTCATCACACTAGTAAGCAAAGATAACTGTCAACACCCCTATTATCTTGAGGTTATCTTGAGATGATTTCGGGGCTTTTTAGTGTCCCCGCGGCCCGGTCCTCGACCAGGCCTCCACCCCCAGGAAGCAGCCCGTGACAGCTGACTAACACCCAGGTACCTATTTTACTGCTAGGTAACAGGGACATAGGGTGAAAGAAACTCTGCCCATTGTTTCTCGCCGGCGCCTGGGATCGAACCCAGGACCACAGGATCACAAATCCAGCGTGCTGTCCGCTCGGCCGACCGGCGTTTATTAAACATAGATAACTATCTTCACACTAGTAAACAAAGATAACTAATCACACCTGTAAACAAAGATAACTAGCATAACACTAGTAAACAAAATATAAACCCTTCCCCCCCTCCCCCCCCAGGGCCTGTCAAACACTGCCACAAAATTGTGGATTTGGGAATTAGCCGTCATCAGCGCTATTCAAATGAATCAACCCAATTACCCGGGGGGGGGGGGGGGGAGGCGCACTGTGTTGAATACCAATCTGAGTTGGTGGGCCCTCGCCCGCACCGCTTGTCAATCATCCCTCAGGCCGGGTCTGGGGCATCGAACCCTCCTCTGCGTTGTTCATCCATGCCCTCTTGACCAGTGTGTTTATAGAATTAGATAGAATTAGAATTAGATTAGTGTGTGTATATGTTTAACTCAAGATTGTAGAGGCTAACGCCATTCATAACTTTAAAAGCAGGTATGATCGGGAAATAGGCCAGGAGTTAGTGCATTAGACAACCAACGGCTAGAAAAGCGGGGTTCAAGAGCTAGAGCACGATCCTGCAGGCTCTAACATGGGTAAAGAATTACTTAACAGGCAGGAGCCAGAGAGTTACGGTAAAGGGGCGAGAAGTCAGACTGGTGAACAGTAACGAGTGGAGTACCTCAAGGAGCGGTGCTGGAACCAGGGGGCCAGATTCACGAAAGCACTTAGGAACCTGTACATCTTTTCTCAATCTTTGCCGGCTTTGTTTCCAATTATTAAACAGTTAATGAGCTCCGAAGCACCAGGAGGCTGTTTATAACAATAACAACAGTTGAATGGGAAGTTTTCATGCTTGTTAACTGTTTAATAAATGTAACCAAAGCCGTCAAAGATTGAGGAAAGATGTACACGTTCGTAAGTGCTTGCGTAAGTGCTTTCGTGAATCTGGCCCCTGTTCTGTTACTAATATACGTGAATGACATGTCAACAGGAGTTGAGTCCTATATGTCATTGTTCGCGGATGATGCGAAATTAATGAGACGAGTTGGGACAGATGAGGATTGTAGGATTCTCCAAAAGATCCTCCTCTTTGTACACAGCATATGCAAGACCAATCCTGGAGTATGCGGTCCCAGCATGGAGCTCGTACCTTGTTAAGCACAAGACGAAGCTTGAAAAAGTTCAGAGGTATGCCACTAGACTAGACCCAGAACTAAGAGGTATGAGTTACGTGGAAAGTGCGGGAAATTCATCTCACGACACTGGAAGACAGAAGAGTAAGGGAAGACATGATTACTACATACAAAATCTTCAGGGTAGACAAGGATAAACTATTCAACACTGGTGGTATGCGAACAAGGGGACACAGGTGGAAACTGAGTACCCAAATGAGCCACAGGGACGTTAGAAAAAACCTTTTCAGTGTCAGAGTAGTTAACAGGTGGAATGCATTAGGCAGTGATGTGGTGGAGGCTGACTCCATACAAAGTTTCAAATGTTGATATGACAGAGCCCAATAGGCTCAAGAATCTGTACACCAGTTTATTGGCTGTTGAGAGGCGAGACCAAAGAGCCAGAGCTCAACCCCCGCAAGCAGAACTAGGTGAGTACACATATACACACGCACACTGGCGCATAAGACATACCTAATTTGCAAGGATTTATAGTGGAAACACATTAAAATGATTTACATATTTATTGAAGGTGACTTTGTAGGGGTTTTATCTTGGAAAACATGCGATTTCGTGCATGTAAACACACTACATATATTGCGTTGGTCGTACACCACAACTGTGCATCCTGTTCCCCCCGATAAATAGGTATTTGTGTGTGTGTATATAATGTTTAAGTTTCCCCTTAAAACAATCCAGCGATCACACGTCTCTTATCCTACCCGGTAATGGATGCCGCAAATCCACACCCACATTCCCAAGCCAATACTTAGACCCAGGTGTTGTGTAGGTCCAGACGCTCCACTTCTAGCTCGGGCCGGGCTAGAAGTGGAGCGTCTGGGCCACCGCCACCCTCGTGGAGGGGGTGAGTCCCAGGCTGCTGTGTCTGCCCCCTTCACTCTCTCCTGCCACTGCCACCCTCATTTAAGGGCTGGCCATAGACACATTAACCTCCTGCTTTAGTGGAAACCGCCAACGTGATCTACAAGGTCAAGGTCAGACTTCTAGAAAACCAGCAGCTCCCGCGACGGCAGATATTGTAGAAAATATCACAAATCGCAGCAGTCGTCCCAGTGGACATCCGGACTGATGGAGAGGGAGCTGCTCTCCCGACACAGAAGCTCTGGAAGGGCTCATCACCGTGCAGCATTTGGCTGGTCTGCGAGAAGAGGGCGTCGTCACTACCCCACCACGACAGTACACCGCCTACCGGACCATCTTCGCCAGGGTACTCGGGCCCTGCTTGACATCCCGGGAGGACGAACTCGTGAAGAGCATCAACGATGACTACGGGGCCCTGGCGGTAGTCGCAGCACACCTCATAAGAAACGATGAAGTTCAACGGACGCTCCTGGAGGTGACTCTCCATGGCTGCTATCTTGAGGTTATCTTGAGATGATTTCGGGGCTTTAGTGTCCCCGCGGCCCGGTCCTCGACCAGGCCTCCACCCCCCAGGAAGCAGCCAGTGACAGCTGACTAACACCCAGGTACGTATTTTACTGCTAGGTAACAGGGGCATAGGGTGAAAGAAACTTTGCCCATTGTTTCTCGCCGGCGCCTGGGATCGAACCCAGGACCACAGGCTCACAAGTCCAGTGTGCTGTCCGCTCGGCCGACCGGCTCCCTGCTGCCACTTTCGCGATAGAAAGTGCATTCAGATACCGAGGCATCTCCATTACCCCTGACCTAGAGCAGAGAGAACACTTCTTCCAGCTGCGCCAGTGTTACCGCTGCTGCAAGTGTGACCACTTTACTCAGAAATGTCAGCAGACCACCGACAGATGCAGCTTATGAGCGAGGGAGCTACAACACCTGCACGGGGACCACACCACAATGCCTCAACTGTGGGGAAGCCACGAGTACTACGAGACCTACCCCGACGGACAGCCGGAACTCGACGACGACCCCGACGACGACCCCGACGAGGACCTGCTCGACGACACGACGACGAAGAAACGCCGAATTAAGCTGAGGATAGCAGACGAAACGCGACGCATCCATCCATAAGCCAAGCCTCTTGCACGACATATACTGCGAGCGACCATGAAGACCCCCATCCATCCATCCACAGATCTACAGTACCAGCTACTGGTACTGGCAGTGGCTCCAAACAGCCGCCATTTACGGGTTATTCATGCCCGTGCCACCTCCTTGGTACCTTTATCTTTATCACTCAGTCAATCAATCAGTGTATCTAAACTTACCCATTGTTTCATGTTACATTTTGTGTTCATATGCTGTGCTTTCTGTTCATGATTACTTCTTGATGCACGTATCGACGTTTTACTGATCAGGCTTTTTTATTTATTGCAGGTAAGACATGTGGGTCCCCCTGGTGCACACAGCAGGTAAGACATGTGGGTCCCCCTGGTGCACGCAGCAGGTAAGACATGTGGGTCCCCCTGGTGCACACAGCAGGTAAGACATGTGGGTCCCTGGTGCACACAGCAGGTAAGACATGTGGGTCCCCCTGGTGCACGCAGCAGGTAAGACATGTGGGTCCCCCTGGTGCACACAGCAGGTAAGACATGTGGGTCCCCCTGGTGCACGCAGCAGGTAAGACATGTGGGTCCCCCTGGTGCACACAGCAGGTAAGACATGTGGGTCCCTGGTGCACACAGCAGGTAAGACATGTGGGTCCCCCTGGTGCACGCAGCAGGTAAGACATGTGGGTCCCCCTGGTGCACACAGCAGGTAAGACATGTGGGTCCCCCTGGTGCACACAGCAGGTAAGACATGTGGGTCCCTGGTGCACACAGCAGGTAAGACATGTGGGTCCCTGGTGCACACAGCAGGTAAGACATGTGGGTCCCTGGTGCACACAGCAGGTAAGACATGTGGGTCCCTGGTGCACACAGCAGGTAAGACATGTGGGTCCCCTGCTGCACACAGCAGGTAAGACATGTGGGTCCCCCTGGTGCACACAGCAGGTAAGACATGTGGGTCCCTGGTGCACACAGCAGGTAAGACATGTGGGTCCCCCTGGTGCACACAGCAGGTAAGACATGTTGGTCCCCTGCTGCACACAGCAGGTAAGACATGTGGGTCCCCTGCTGCACACAGCAGGTAAGACATGTGGGTCCCCCTGGTGCACACAGCAGGTAAGACATGTGGGTCCCCCTGCTGCACACAGCAGGTAAGACATGTGGGTCCCCTGATGCACACAGCAGGTAAGACATGTGGGTCCCCCTGGTGCACACAGCAGGTAAGACATGTTCGTCTCCTGGTGCACACAGCAGGTAAGACATGTGGGTCCCCCTGGTGCACACAGCAGGTAAGACATGTGGGTCCCCTGCTGCACACAGCAGGTAAGACATGTGGGTCCCCTGCTGCACACAGCAGGTAAGACATGTGGGTCCCCTGCTGCACACAGCAGGTAAGACATGTGGGTCCCCTGCTGCACACAGCAGGTAAGACATGTGGGTCCCCCTGGTGCACACAGCAGGTAAGACATGTGGGTCCCCCTGGTGCACACAGCAGGTAAGACATGTGGGTCCCCCTGGTGCACACAGCAGGTAAGACATGTGGGTCCCTTGCTGCACACAGCAGGTAAGACATGTGGGTCCCCTGCTGCACACAGCAGGTAAGACATGTGGGTCCCTGATGCACACAGCAGGTAAGACATGTGGGTCCCTGGTGCACACAGCAGGTAAGACATGTGGGTCTCCTGCTGCACACAGCAGGTAAGACATGAGGGTCCCCCTGGTGCACACAGCAGGTAAGACATGTGGGTCCCCTGCTGCACACAGCAGGTAAGACATGTGGGTCCCTGGTGCACACAGCAGGTAAGACATGTGGGTCCCCCTGGTGCACACAGCAGGTAAGACATGTGGGTCCCCCTGGTGCACACAGCAGGTAAGACATGTGGGTCCCCCTGGTGCACACAGCAGGTAAGACATGTGGGTCCCCCTGGTGCACACAGCAGGTAAGACATGTGGGTCCCCTGCTGCACACAGCAGGTAAGACATGTGGGTCCCCCTGGTGCACACAGCAGGTAAGACATGTGGGTCCCCCTGGTGCACACAGCAGGTAAGACATGTGGGTCCCCCTGGTGCACACAGCAGGTAAGACATGTGGGTCCCCCTGGTGCACACAACAGGTAAGACATGTGGGTCCCCCTGGTGCACACAGCAGGTAAGACATGTGGGTCCCCCTGGTGCACACAGCAGGTAAGACATGTGGGTCCCCCTGGTGCACACAGCAGGTAAGACATGTGGGTCCCCTGCTGCACACAGCAGGTAAGACATGTGGGTCCCCTGCTGCACACAGCAGGTAAGACATGTGGGTCCCTGATGCACACAGCAGGTAAGACATGGGGGTCCCTGGTGCACACAGCAGGTAAGACATGTGGGTCTCCTGCTGCACACAGCAGGTAAGACATGTGGGTCCCCCTGGTGCACACAGCAGGTAAGACATGTGGGTCCCCTGCTGCACACAGCAGGTAAGACATGTGGGTCCCTGGTGCACACAGCAGGTAAGACATGTGGGTCCCCCTGGTGCACACAGCAGGTAAGACATGTGGGTCCCCCTGGTGCACACAGCAGGTAAGACATGTGGGTCCCCTGCTGCACACAGCAGGTAAGACATGTGGGTCCCTGGTGCACACAGCAGGTAAGACATGTGGGTCCCCCTGGTGCACACAGCAGGTAAGACATGTGGGTCCCTGGTGCACACAGCAGGTAAGACATGTGGGTCCCCCTGGTGCACACAGCAGGTAAGACATGTGGGTCCCCCTGGTGCACACAGCAGGTAAGACATGTGGGTCCCTGGTGCACACAGCAGGTAAGACATGTGGGTCCCCCTGGTGCACACATCAGGTAACATAAGCCTCGGAGTGTTACTGGCTGTGGTAGATAGAAGAGATCAATGAATGTTAAGATGGTGGAGAAAAAGAGAATTTGGAAATAAAATGTGATACATTGTGGGAGACAGGGAGAGGAGAAGGGGGCGTGCATAGGAGAAGAGAGTGAGAGAGAGAGGAGCGGAAGCCAGGGGAGAGGAGAGGAGTGAGAGGAGCAGAGGAGGGGGCAGGTATTCCAATATGATTGCAGGGAGCGATGAGAGTGGTGCCAGATAAGTTGGGAGGCGGGAGAGTTGCCGTGGTGACGGTACTGGACCACTGTTATTAGCTGTGAGAGCTGGGGCCCCCTGCCACCACTACCACCACCACCACCACCACTACCACCACCACCACCACCACCACCACCACCACTACCACCACCACTACCACCACCACCACCACCACTATCACTACCACCAGCACCACCGCCACCACCACTACCACCATCATTACCATCTCCACCACCACTACCACCACCACCACTACCACCAGCGCCACCACCACTACCACCATCATTACCATCTCTACCACCACTACCACCACCACCATCCCTACCACAATCACCACCACCACCACCTCTACCACCAGCTCCACTACCAGTTGGTTACACCCTTCAGTTGGTTACACCCTTCAGTTGGTTACACCCTTCAGTTGGTTACACCCTCCAGTTGGGTACACCCTTCAGTTGGTTACACCCTTCAGTTGGTTACACCCTTCAGTTGGTTACACCCTCCAGTTGGTTACACCCTTCAGTTGGTTACACCCTCCAGTTGGTTACACCTTTCAGTTGGTTACACCCTCCAGTTGGTTACACCCTCCAGTTGGTTACACCCTTCAGTTGGTTACACCTTTCAGTTGGTTACACCTTTCAGTTGGTTACACCCTTCAGTTGGTTACACCCTCCAGTTGGTTACACCTTTCAGTTGGTTACACCTTTCAGTTGGTTACACCCTTAAGTTGGTTACGCCCTTCAGTTGGTTACACCTCTCAGTTGGTTACACCTTTCAGTTGGTTACACCCTTCAGTTGGTTACGCCCTTCAGTTGGTTACACCTCTCAGTTGGTTACACCTTTCAGTTGGTTACACCCTCCAGTTGGTTACACATTTCAGTTGGTTACACCTCTCAGTTGGTTACACCCTTCAGTTGGTTACACCCTTCAGTTGGTTACACCCTCCAGTTGGTTACACCTTTCAGTCGGTTACACCTCTCAGTTGGTTACACCTTTTAGTTGGTTACACCCTTCAGTTGGTTACGCCCTTCAGTTGGTTACACCTCTCAGTTGGTTACACCTTTCAGTTGGTTACACCCTTCAGTTGGTTACGCCCTTCAGTTGGTTACAGCTCTCAGTTGGTTACACCTTTCAGTTGGTTACACCTCTCAGTTGGTTACACCTTTCAGTTGGTTACACCTTTCAGTTGGTTACACCTTTCAGTTGGTTACACCCTTCAGTTGGTTACGATCTTCAGTTGGTTACACCCTTCAGTTGGTTACGCCCTTCAGTTGGTTACACCCTTCAGTTGGTTGCGCCCTCCAGTTGGTTACACCTTTTAGTTCGTTACACCTCTCAGTTGGTTACACCTCTCAGTTGGTTACACCTTTCAGTTGGTTACACCCTCCAGTTGGTTACACCTCTCAGTTGGTTACACCTTTCAGTTGGTTACACCCTTCAGTTGGTTACGCCCTTCAGTTGGTTACAGCTCTCAGTTGGTTACACCTTTCAGTTGGTTACACCCTTCAGTTGGTTACACCTTTCAGTTGGTTACACCTTACAGTTGGTTACACCTCTCAGTTGGTTACACCTCTCAGTTGGTTACACCCTTCAGTTGGTTACACCTTTCAGTTGGTTACACCTCTCAGTTGGTTACACCTTTCAGTTGGTTACACCTTTCAGTTGGTTACACCCTTCAGTTGGTTACACCCTTCAGTTGGTTACACCCTTCAGTTGGTTACGCCCTTCAGTTGGTTACACCTCTCAGTTGGTTACACCTCTCAGTTGGTTACACCTTTCAGTTGGTTACACCTTTCAGTTGGTTACACCCTTCAGTTGGTTACGCCCTTCAGTTGGTTACACCCTTCAGTTGGTTACGCCCTTCAGTTGGTTACACCCTTCAGTTGGTTACGCCCTCCAGTTGGTTACACCTTTTAGTTGGTTACACCTCTCAGTTGGTTACACCTCTCAGTTGGTTACACCTTTCAGTTGGTTACACCCTTCAGTTGGTTACACCTTTCAGTTGGTTACACCCTTCAGTTGGTTACGCCCTTCAGTTGGTTACACCCTTCAGTTGGTTACGCCCTTCAGTTGGTTACACCCTTCAGTTGGTTACGCCCTCCAGTTGGTTACACCTTTTAGTTGGTTACACCTTTCAGTTGGTTACACCTCTCAGTTGGTTAAACCTTTCAGTTGGTTACACCCTCCAGTTGGTTACACCCTTCAGTTGGTTACACCCTCCAGTTGGTTACACCCTTCAGTTGGTTACACTCCCGTTCTCCCTCTTCGCCCTTACTTCATTACACACATAAATCATAGTTGCGTGATGCATCAAATGAACAAATAAAACGCTGGTTTGTGCCTCGGAGAGGCTGCAGGATCCAGTAAGTTCAGTAGAACATCGGTTTCAACTCCTTTTGACCATGTCGTAGCTCAGTCGATTAAGGCAGCGTCTGGGATGCTCTCGGACGCAGGTTCGAATCCTCGTCACGACCCTTATGGATTTGTTCAATTGATGCATCACACAATTGTGATTTCTGTCTGTAATTTAACTAGATTGTCAAAACACATTTGACACTGTTCCTCATAAAAGACTGGTGAACAAGACGGAGAGGCAGGCTGGGAGAATTGGGAAAACACTGAACTGAATAAGAAAGAATCTGAAGAACTGAAAGCAAAGAGTCACAGTTCGTAGAGGAGGCTTCAAGCTGGAGGGATGTAACGAGTGGGGTCCCACAAGGCTCAGTCCTGGGACCGCTGCTGTTCCTAATGATGTGAACGACCGACCACGAGGGAGTGAACTCGTACATGTCAATGTTTGCTGATGATGGAAAGTTGATGAGGATTATAACAACAGAGTAGGACTGCCGGAAGTTACAGGAGGACCTTCAGAAATTCCAGGAGTGGTCAAACAAATGGTTACTGGAATTCAATCACAATAAGTGTAAGGCAATGATGATGGGAAAAGGAAAGGCGGAAAGGGAAGTATCATTGGAAAGTGCCAAGCCATTACGACTATATAGCACTTGGAAGGGGTCAGGATAAGAATTTGGGATGGGACGGAGGGATGGAATGGTGCCCAACTACTTGGACGGTCGGGGATTGACAGACCGTCCAGCATTAGCTCCAGCACTAATATTAGAGCCTCACACAAACAGGAGAACATCGGCAGCATACGAGACGTTGGCAAATATAAGAACATCGTTTAGACATGTAAATCAGTACTTCTTCAAGGCAATTTACACAACATTTGTTAGACCAATACTGGAATATGCAGCACTGGCATGGAATCCGCAACTTGTGAAGCATAAAGCCAAAAATGAAACAGTAGAAATGTTTGCAAACAAGATTGGTGCCAGAGCTAAAAAGTGTTAACGTACGAAATAACCTCTTAGAACTAAACCCTAGAGGATAAAAGGAACAGAAGAGATATGATCGCACCATACAAGATACTGAGGGGAATAGATAAGGCGGAAAAGGATAGCCTCTTCAAATTGAGATCAAGTAGGACAAGAGGACACAGTACCATTAGGACACTAACACCAGGGGAAGCTGGAAACACAATTGAGCGGAAGAAATGTAAGGAAATACTCGTATACCTTGTACAGGTCATCAACACCTGGAATGCACTGATAGAAGTTGAGGAGGTCACCTCCATCCTCAACTTTTAAGGTCAGATTTGACAAAGAATTTGAGCATCAGTTTAGCTCAATGAGCTAATGAGATGAACAATTGTAGTGCAACAGACACAAGGCTGGTAGACGGGGGCATAAGGAGATAGAGCTCATCCCCTGCAGACACTGATATGTAAGCACTGATAGCTAAGTGACACTACCACCACCAGGTCCACCACCTCTCTCCACCAGCCTCACCACCTCTCTCCACCAGCCTCACCACCTCTCTCCACCAGCCTCACCACCTCTCTCCACCAGCCTCACCACCACCACCAACCCAACAACCACCACCACCATGACCATCCAATCGATCTGTTACTTCAGACGTCTTGCTTATAGGGATGAAACAGATGACCATAGACATATTTATACGGCATTGGGGTTGAATTAATTTGCTTTCAGTTGTTTTGTATTTATTTTTTTCCGTATGATTCATTTTCTTATTTTTTTGAAATTTTCCGTATTGTCACAAATGTCTCTCAGCCGTCAACTAGTCCCCTCCCTCAGCCGTCAACTAGTCCCCTCCCTCAGCCGTCAACTAGTCCCCTCCCTCAGCCGTCAACTAGTCCCCTCCCTCAGCCGTCAACTAGTCCCCTCCCTCAGCCGTCAACTAGTCCCCTCCCTCAGCCGTCAACAAGTCCCCTCCCTCAGCCGTCAACAAGTCCCCTCTCTCAGCCGTCAACAAGTCCCCTCCCTCAGCCGTCAACAAGTCCCCTCCCTCAGCCGTCAACAAGTCCCCTCCCTCAGCCGTCAACAAGTCCCCTCCCTCAGCCGTCAACAAGTCCCCTCCCTCAGCCGTCAACAAGTCCCCTCCCTCAGCCGTCAACTAGTCCCCTCCCTCAGCCGTCAACTAGTCCCCTCCCTCAGCCGTCAACTAGTTCCCACTCCACGCCGTCACCATTCCAATCGATATCGACCGAATTTACATAAAAAAAATATCCTCTCTCCTCGGATTGTGTGGGATATGTGAAGGGAACAGAAAGCTGAAATGGCCACTTCAATGGCACTCATTGCTAATGGACCCCTTCCCCTCTGTTCTCTAACTCTCCCCCTCTCCCTCTCTACAACCCTTCCCCTCTTTCCCCCTCTCTCCTCCCTCCCTCTCTCCCTCCCTCCCTCTCTCCAGCAGTCTCTCCTTCTGCCCTTCGCCTGAGAGAGAGTGTGTGTGTGTGGTTTATGTAAATTTTATGTTCATTGTGCACAGATCAACTGTGAAATATTCCAGCCCCCCCTTTTTTTTTACTCAACTGTGCATCAGTGGATCACCTGTGTACTGTGCAGTGCATCAGTGGGTCTCCTGTGTACTGTGCAGTGCCTCAGTGGGTCTCCTGTGTACTGTGCAGTGCATCAGTGGGTCTCCTGTGTACTGTGCAGTGCATCAGTGGGCCTCCTGTGTACTGTGCAGGGACATCAGTGGGCCTCCTGTGTACTGTGCAGGGACATCAGTGGGCCTCCTGTGTACTGTGCAGGGACATCAGTGGGCCGTAGTGTGTGTCCTGTATACTGTGTAGCGCTGCGTCTCATGTGTACTGTGCTTCACTGTACTTTGGTTATGTATACACAACTTTGGTTATGTGTACTCTACTTTAATAATGCATACTAAGCTTTGGTTATGTATACTAGGCTTTGGTTAAGTAATAATTTGATTTGGTTATGAATACTCTACTTTAGTTATGTATACTCAGCTTTGGGTATGTATAATATGCTTTCGGTGTGTATACTCGCCTTGGGTTATGTATATTATGTTTTGTTTATGTATATTCAACCTTGGTTACGTTGTAATTGCCATAGAATACAGTCTTGAAAGAATGTCTACGACTTTCCATACTATTGGCAGTGTGTGTGTGTGTGTGTGTGTGTGTGTGTGTGTGTGTGTGTGTGTGTGTATGTGTGTGTGTGTGTGTGTGTGTGTGTGTGTGTGTGTGTGTGTGTGTGTGTTTACTAGTTGTGTTTTTACGGGGGTTGAGCTTTGCTCTTTCGGCCCGCCTCTCAACTGTCAATCAACTGTTTACTAACTACTTTTTTTTTTTTTTTTTTTTCCACACCACACACACACACACACACCCACCCCAGGAAGCAGCCCGTGACAGCTGACTAACTCCCAGGTACCTATTTACTGCTAGGTAACAGGGGCATTCAGGGTGAAAGAAACTTTGCCCATTTGTTTCTGCCTCGTGCGGGAATCGAACCCGCGCCACAGAATTACGAGTCCTGCGCGCTATCCACCAGGCTACGAGGCCCCTTTTGTGTGTGTGTGTGTGTGTGTGTGTGTGTGTGTGTGTGTGTGTGTGTGTGTGTGTGTGTGTGTGTGTGTGTGTGTGTGTGTGTGTGTGTGTGTGTGTAACCTGTGCTGTGCCACAGGCGCCCTGGTGAGTTACAAGCTGCCGTGTGCGATAAAATTCAGTTCATACAGTCTATATAAAAAAATGCAAGCCAATTCTTTCGTGAGAAAATGTTTGGAGCAGTGTAGTGGGATCGAACTTGCGTCCTGCGCCAGAATGCATCAAAAAGATTTACACAACTAATTTACGAAACCTGTACATGTTTCCTCAATCATGGCGGCTGTGTTTACATTTATTGAACAGTTTACGAGCTTGGAAACGTCACAACCCGAGGATATTACTGTTATGAACAACCTCGTATAGCGTTTAGAAGTTCATGAATAAGGAAAGATTCATATTCTTAATGGTAAGAATGTTTGTCCAAAGAACATAAAGGGGGGAAGGGGCCAGCTGTAGGGACAAGAGTTGCCCACACAGACGAAGCCACTAAGACACAGAGCGTTTCGGAGCCAAACTTAGAATAACTTAGATAAAAGATAATTTACGGGTATCAAGTGGTCGACAATACTAGGAGAGACGTAAGCTACCTTGTGTGTGTGTGTGTGTGTGTGTAAACATGTTCAAGACATACAACGTATGATGTACACTATAATGGTGATACTTAATGATCACAGCCATAGGTGATGGAATTGGTTGTCCAGTTCAGTAGTTTGTTAACATCAGCAACAGAAGGAAAATACAAAGGTGAAATTTCGTGAAATTACTAGAACGTAACACAACACTTAAACAAGTGTTTGTAAGTGTTTACTTGTGTTAGACAAGTAACAAGTGTTTACACGTAAAACACAAAAGAACATAACAAAACACTTAGTTAACACTTAGATAAGTTTTTTTTAGAGTAAATTAGAAAAAAATGGTTTAATGGGACAAACGCTTAAAAATGATGTATATTTATAGATTTCCTTAAGTGTCTGCATTAATATTTGACGAATTCTGGACCCCAGGTCGCAGGTTCGATGCCGTTGCACTGCTCCAAACATTTCCCAACATCACCCCAAGAGGGAGCCGGTCGGCCGAGCGGACAGCACGCTGGTCTTGTGATCCTGTGGTCCTGGGTTCGATCCCAGGCGCCGGCGAGAAACAATGGGCAGAGTTTCTTTCACCCTATGCTCCTGTTACCTAGCAGTAAAATAGGTACCTGGGTGTTAGTCAGCTGTCACGAGCTGCTTCCTGGGGGTGGAGGCCTGGTCGAGGACCGGGCCGCGGGGAC